TGGTGTTTAGGTTCAGGAAACAGACCATTAGATGGTAAGGTATGCCATCAAAACCAACCACATATAAAAACAATAATTAACTAAATGTTATATGCTTCCCACTATCCATTAGCTTTAAAGAATATAAAATCCCTAAAAAGTAACTTTTAAAAGTGTTTGACTTTTTCTAGATAAAATTGTATAAGTCAAGTCAAATATGAAAAATTTCCAGACTTATTCAGAAGTTAAAAGTTATTGGAGAATACTGCAATCGTTTATAGAAGAAGTTGCTTATCTAGATTGAAATAAAAAGAGGAACATCAGCTGGACCAATTAAATCATATTATATCTCATAATCTTTATTTGAACACCAGTTCACGAGATAATGCAAGAAAACCCCACAATTCTCCATTCAAAGGGTCATAAAAGGTCAAATTGTTTGCCAAAAAGTGAAGGTTTTAGTCTAAAAAAGCCCAACATTTTAACAAAATTACATGAACTCTGTTGAACTAGGAAACAAGATTTTCAGTAAAATATTTATTTATCTTGAAGTTCCTTCCCATGGGGCCAGATTGAATCTGTTTCACTCTATGAACTCATGTGATGCATTATACCTATTCTATTTCCTAGGATAAATATCTAATTGGTTTTAGTCCCAGAAGGTCCTCTTCATGTGAAAACGTACTCTTTATAAGAGAAAATGTATAATCTTTTTACAAAAATGCTGAGCAAACATGACTTTAAAGGCCTTTGCAGCATGAGGCTTGACCCAAGTTAAATATATGGAAAAAGAGGTTTAGACTTTGCCCTATTTAAGACAAAGATTAAAAGGGGGGAAAAAACTGCCAACATAGCATATATATGACCCGTGCATATAATTGATTTTGCCAAAGCAGAAGAAATCAAGTGCAATAAAATTGAAATCTATTTTCACAATATTGTTATATATTTTATAAACTTTTTTTCTAATTTTATGGTGAAATGCAGTACAATATTGCCATTGCATATCTCAAATGACCAACCGCCTAAGAGGACACCACTAAAAAATGGGCATATGGATAAGCATATACTAGCAAATTAAAACAAAACGTTTAGAAATGTAAGCATTGTATAGATAAACGTTAATGGATGTTTCAAGTCATATGCAAGTAGCACTGTATGAGTAGATATTAATAAATATTTATATAAATATGTATATAAATATGTGTATATATATATGTGTGATTTTACTAAGATGAACTCTATTAATATGTAACTCAATGGATAATACTTGCTATCTTATTGCAGATATTTTGTAACTTTGTAACACAGCTATAAGTTTAATAAAACTTAGGAGGCATTAGGACAGGGCTCTAATTCCCCAAATAGACACACAGTTCATTTCTGAGGATTGGAGTTTTGTCTTCGAGAGATATTTTAAGAGATCTTTTATCATTTGTCTCTGAACATAATACATTTGTTTGACTTGCTGCTTCTATGTTTTCAGTATAAAGCAGTGATGGCGAACCTTTTTGAGCCCGAGTGCCCAAACCGCAATACATGCCAACTTTTTTTCCCTCAAAGTGCCAACACGGCAATTAAACCTGAATACTGAGGTTTAAGTTTAGAAAAAACAACTCGTACAGTTGTCCAAACTAATTAACAACTTTGTTTTAAAAGAAGAACACAACAGAGAGTTCAATGATACAAATTTTAAATAATAATATAAATAGATAAAATTAAGCTTATATTTATTAGTAGACTTCTGAACACATTCACACACCGGCCGCTAAATACACATACAGACAGACTGCTGAGTACACACAGACTGCTGAGTACACACACACACACTGTCTGCTAAGTACACACACACTCTGCTGAGTACGCACACACAGTCTGCTGAGTACGCACACACATAGTCTGCTGAGTACGCACACACACACACACACACAGTCTGCTAAATACACACACACACAGTCTGCTGAATACACACACACACACACACAGTTTGCTGAATACACACACACACACACACACACACAGACTGCCAAATACACACACACACAGACAGACTGCTGAATATACACACACACACACAGACTGCTGAGTACACACACACATACTGCATTAATGGGTGCAGTGTATGTGTTTGTGTGTAAGGGTGTGGAGTGTTGTGTGTGTGAGGGTGCTGTGTGTGTGAGGGGTGCTGTGTGTGTGTGTGTGAGGGGTGCTGTGTGTGTGTGTGTGAAGGGTGCTGTGTGTGTGTCTGAGGGGTGCTGTGTGTGTGTGTGTGTCTGAGAGGTGCTGTGTGTGTGTCTGTCTGAGGGGTGCTGTGTGTGTGTGTGTGTGTCTGTCTGTCTGAGGGGTGCTGTGTGTGTGTCTGTATCTCTGAGGGGTGCAGTGTGTGTGTGTGTCTGAGGGGTGCAGTGTGTGTATGTCTAAAGGGGTGCAGTGTGTGTGTCTGAGGGATGAAATGTGTGTGTGGGGGTGCTGTGTGTGTGCGGGTGCTGTGTGTGGCGGGGGAAGGGGTGCTGTCTGTGGGGGGGTAGGGTGCTGTGTGTGGGTGGGTAGGATGCTGTGTGGGGGGATAGGGTGCTGTGTGGGGGCATAGGGGTGGTGTGGTGGGTGGGGGCTAGGGGTACATTAAAAAATATATATATCCCTGGTGGTCCGGTGGTGGTAAGTAGGTTTGTGTGAAGCAGCTCTCCTGTCCTCCCGCGCGATGCTGTGTGGAGTGTTGCTATGGTAACGCGCGGCAACGCTCCACACAGCATCGCGCGGGAGGACAGGAGAGCTACTTCCTAGAGCCCTCCCCCAGTAGGCAGGTGCCTACTCTGCAGACAGCCAGCGGCCCCCTCTCCCGTCGACCTATGGCCGCGTGCCCACAGAGAGGGCCCGGCGTGCAACCTGTGGCACGCATGACATAGGTTCGCCATCACTGGTATAAAGTGATCCACACATGTTCACAGCTAAATAAGACCCAGGAATTATTTTGTATAATATATTCAAGCTGTGAAAATACTAACAAAACCATTAGGTCACCGAAGAACAAAATTAGCAATAATGCACTAACCATGTAAAATGTATGCATAGCATTAACACGTGAGCCACATAGGTACAATAATGTATGTTTCCCTTTAGGGCTTTTTAAATGTGAAAAAGTAATTAGGGTACTGGATCATTTAAATCTCATCATGGTATTTCTATTTGTGTCTTCAGGGTTTGCCCTTGTTGTAGCAGTTTTCTGTCACATCTACTTAATTATATATAAAAAAAAAAGAAATTATGAGGCTCAGATTTGGGTTGGTGGCTGTGAAATTATTTGTTCAGTAGAAATGCAGAAATGACAAAGAATGTAAAATGTCTTAAAGATTGGCAGGAGGAATCCTAAAGTGATGATTTTTGAAATAGCAATAGGAATATTACATTTTAGCTCATAATTATGTTTGGCATTATTGATTTAATGAAAAGTTTTGCATCTTCCCCTAACGTCCCAAATATGTACAGGTATATTCAGTGTAATCTGACATCTATAAATTGGGATTCATTGCTCCAAACACCACCAGCAATTGTTTAAGGAAAAGTCTAGATAGCAAATTGCATATGTTTATTGTGTGTACTTATTAGTGCTGATCAGTGTCATATTAAATGTTTCCCTTAGAGAAAGATTGTGGACATAGGGAGCACAATCTAAAATATTATAAACACCTACATGCATAATATATAGTAAATATAACCCAAACACATTTGGAAGCTATGGAAATATGCATGACAATACGTAATAATAAAAACATATAACATTACCAAATAATTAAATACTAGATGTTTTACAAATTATAAGAAAATCATTTTTGCAGTAACCGTGTATGTTCTTTGATGTTGTCCAGAAAAGGTATGCAGGCTTAGATTGTTTTTCAGTATTTTTATGAGATCCATATCTTATCTCACATAGGAGTCTGCTGGCAGGTTCAAATATTTGTGGCAGCATTAACAAGCAATTAACAAGCATATGAACAATTGTCCTGCAAGTCCAAACTTAAACATGCTAACATTGAACATATCATAGGGTCATTGTGGATCTAGATCAAATGACCAAAGATGACCATACTATATTTTCAGGAAGTGTGAAAAGAGGATGTGTGAGTAGAAGACAGGGGAGATGTGGCTAGGGCTGCAGAATCACCATTTAACATATAAGCACCAAAACCACTTAATGAATGGTACTATGAAGAAAAAAAAAAAAAAAGAAGAAATGGGAGCTATAAGGGAAACACTCATAGTGGGGTTAACCCACATCTAACTACCAAGGTAGTATTTAACAAAAGAACAGAACCATTGAGTGCCCTACAGATAAATAAAATGTAACTTTTAATAAGTAGATTTAAAATGTAAGTAACTTAATATAACACAAGGTGGTAAATAGTAATGCTCCAGATGAGCAAATTAATTACAAAGTGATACTTCTCAGTGAAAGGTAAAATTCAATTGGTTATGATAGATACACTGTACACATAGCAACACTGAATTGGTAATTCCTTATTGCAGGTTTAGAATATGTACAGCCCGTTTAGAGACACGTACTAACATTCAAACATTAAGTAATGAAACTTCCATTTACCCAAATGTAGTACATACAAAGGACCTGTTCAAAAGTTTTCAGTGAGCCTCTGATAATTGAACGCTGCAACAAAAACAGTGTTTCAATATATGATCAACTCTAGCACAATTAGTGCTAAGTTCGATCAAGTAACAAATAATATTGTTTAACTTAACAAAAATAAGAAAGTTGTGATCGTAAAAATTAAAATCAAATGAACTGTAAATGAGGTCTTTTGGGCGGATGATCAAAAGGTCAAATATCAGTGCACCGTTATCCAAATGGTGCTTAAGTGAAGTACTCAGTAAACTGCCACTGATACTATCGAATACTGGGGAAAAGAAAGAACCCCTATACCTAAAGTTGCCTCCTTAACAGTATCATAATGCCGGGATTCTGAGAGAGGTGGGAACAATATGGTCCATAACCCACTATACACAAATCTGTAGAGAAACACCGACAACCCCTCTAAGCAGGCCCAAGTCTGCATGACTTCTGAGATCTGACGAGATCAGGCACTTTCAGACTGGTATGACCAATTCAGTGTTGCTATGTGTACAGTGTATCTATCATAACCAATTGAATTTTACCTTTCACTGAGAAGTATCACTTTGTAATTAATTTGCTCATCTGAGCATTACTATTTACCACCTTGTGTTATATTAAGTTACTTACATTTTAAATCTACTTATTAAAAGTTACATTTTATTTATCTGTAGGGCACTCTATGAAGAAAAAAAAAACCACAAAAAATGATTTGTTTCACAATTTTGACATCTAACAGTAACTCAGCACTTCGAGCATCAGCTTTTCTCAGAGTAAGTATAAATATCATCACAATCTTAGCCATAACATCACCTAGCTCTTAAAGACAATGCATACAAATTCCATGAGACCCAACATTGAACACAATAAAGTAGAGCAACATGGATAGGACATATTTTTAAAACAAATTGACATGCAATTTTCAGATAATGTAAAATTAATTGGGGGGCCCTTCACTTACCCCACCCCATCACACATAACCTCAATCTAATAATGTACTGGACTAGACAGTTCCCGTTTACTTTTTATTCCCATAAAATAGATTAGCCCGACAAAGTAGAGTTTGTTTGTTTGCTTGTTTGTTTTGACAAACAACAATTTTGGTAATTTAAAAAGAAAGAGTAAATTATTAACCAAAATAGTTAAATTGAAAGAAATCTGATTTTTTTTTTTCCAGATTTTCCATAATTTGTTGTTTAATAACTAAAGCTCACAAGCTTTCTCCAGTTCTTCCCCTAAGAGATAGGGAAAGGACACAAGTAAAAAAAGAACCATAAATCCTCATCACTTCATTATGCTGCTGATGAGATTTGGAAAAGAGGAAAATTGTTAGAGATTCTTTACATTTGTTTGTATATAATATCAACAATAAAAATGTGAGGATCATTATATTGTAAATAATGATTACAGTAACTGTAGTAATTTTTTTCCTACTCTTTACATTTCCATTAATCCCAGCAAAAGACAAAGCTGTTTACGTAAGGAATGTTTACAGGAACATATGAAAATGATCTGATTATTTTCTAATTGTTTGTGCAAATACCACAATCTTTATGTATTGATTGTAATGGAAACTCATATCGGCTAAGACATCCTTCCATAAACACTTGGATTTTCATTGAGAGAAATCCTTTTGCAGAATTATTTTATGTAAATAGCACTTCTTGGGTGTAAACAAAGATTAAGGAGGACACATAGAAATATTAGAAAAAAAACACTGAGTAAATGCAATATATAAATCAGGAGTCACAGACAATCCTGAGTTTAGAGCCCATATCAAAACATGAGTTTTATTTCACTCACTGCACAGTGTGTTTTATTTATATTTAAAGTAATAGTACACCATTTGGTATTTTTTCTGTCTTTTACATATATCTATACCTGCCACTATGAAGGGGTAAGTGTATTTCTATTAAGCTCTGCACTCGCACATTTTGTTTTAAGGTGGGGTTGGTCACCTAAACATTGGGCGGTATTTTACCTTTATCCTTATGGTTTGTTTTTTTCTAATAAACAAGTACATATTTTTTTTATCTAGTGGGACCCTCCTGATTATTTTCAAAATAATTACTGAGAGGATCCCACCTTTTACATCCTTGGTAAGGATTGTACCACCTACACCTTCAGGAATATTATATTTTGTTCTCCCTTAGTGAGGACCTGCCACTACTAAGTTTGAAATTCTGCACACTACTACTGGTGATATGATCCAAATAACCCCCTACAAAAGACTTAAAGGACCAGTATATCCTCAGGCGGGATTATACAGTGCAAACGCAAACACTTGGAGCTAGTCGGATACTCCAAGAAACTGAAAGTGATTTTTTATATTTCTTTCACCAATCACAAGAAAATACTACACTATATGGTATTCCTTTGTGTTCTTATTTTGCATATTTACTAACTGTCACTTGGACCTGAGTACAAGTAAAAGGCTCTGCTATTGCATCACTATCCTACACCATACCAACCATCAGAAAGAAGATAATCTGGCTTGAGTAGTTCCAGCTGCCTACCTTTATTTTATTTAAATTAGCACTAGAAATCCTAACTGTTTATCTGATTAAGTTGCAATTGTTGACTTGTATTGTTGTGGGATATTTGGAGTGCCTACATAGTGTTTCTTGTTGCTAAATTATCACCATTTTTACTTTTAAGCTCTATTACGTTCACAATATTTTTTACATTTAATATATAAATCTAAGCAGAGTTACTGGATGTCATGATGGCTTTCAATTCCTATAGTTTTGTATTGCCACAACAATGAAAATTATGGCACTTCAAATAAAACGTATTTGTGCTACATGTGTATATAAAATGGCATATCAATTTTTATCCCAAAATGCCAATGTAAGTCTCGTATTAATCCTTTTAATATCAAAGTTGCGTAAGTATTTTTGTTTGTAAAGTAATTTTCTTAGCAAAATCTAATTAAGTCCATAAAGCCTCACCTACCTTCATATATACTACAAAAATTATTGTCAGCTTGTAGATGATTTAATTTCTATTCCTGGAGCCTTTTCCACCAATTTAATGCCTGCGAATGCTCTGAAAATGACAACTCCCCACCTTTCAACTAGTAAATAAAACATCGAAGATCATACAGTTCCTATATTTAGGGAAGGGGAATGAGTGTGTCAGATCATTCTGTTAGAGTCACCCAGATGACTATGAAAAACGTTATCAATAGTGATGTCCCGAATGGTTCGCCGAACGGTTCACCACGGACGGCGAACATGAACATAAACTTTGACCCTGTACCTCACAGTCAGCAGACACATTCCAGCCAATCAGCAGCAGACCCTCCCTCCCAGACCCTCCCACCTCCTGGACAGCATCCATTTTACATTCATTGTGAAGCTGCATTCTTAGTTAGCTGTCCAGGAGGTGGGAGGGTCTGGGAGGGAGGGTCTGCTGCTGATTGGCTGGAATGTGTCTGCTGACTGTGAGGTATAGGGTCAAAGTTTATGTTTATGTTCGCTGTCCGCGGCGAACCGTTTGGCAAACCGTTTGGGACATCACTAGTTATCAATACTATTAGTTTAAAAACATATGATTTAACTTTACTTGTTGTATGAGAATATGATTTTTTTTTTTTTTTTTTTTCTTAAATTCTGTAGTCATTTTTAGTAAGCTGTACTACTAGAGAAGTTTATCTTTCTTTTTTACTAATATATTGTATGAAATATTGCAAGATAAGGAATACAAAAAGCTTTTAGTTCCCCCAATCTGTCTATAAAGGAAGAACAAATGAAAGGAAAACAAAATGTTCTTTGCCATTTGTTTTTTTGTGCTAGCTATCCATCCCATGTTCCAAATAAATGTTATGCTTATATTTCTTTCAGACTAAAATTGACCACATTATAACCCCTTTGTTTTTAAGCAATTTTATTCAGCTTTTTTTAATTTATTTTTATTTTTTTCTCACTTTCATATGTTGCGAGTTTTTTCTCTCCTTGCATATGTTGTGAGTTTCTCCTACTAGTCACTTGTTGTGGCATCATGGTAACAGTGTCTACTTTCTACATATAATTGTACTTTGGTTTTTGAACCAACGTTCTAGAATTGTCAGTGGATATACTAAACAGGAGCATGCAGGTACACCCCATTTTATGACATTTGCCCTATAAAATGAGTGCAGCCATTTTGTTGCTTTCTTCTCTTTCAGTCCTCCTGTGACCAAAAATGTCTCCCTCACAGTAAGGTATATCATGTCTATCCCTTCTTTTGTTTACTTTCGGTTTCTGCTATATTTGTTTATTTGCTGAACCCTCAAAAACATCTTCAATATATATGCTGGAATGATGCCCTTTTGTATTATTGCATATATTGAAAAAAAAGAAAATAAGTGCATAACTATGTCTGCACTGAATATGAATTGAATGTGAATTGCCATTATAAAATTCTGTTTCATTTTTACAGAAAAGGTTGGGTAGGCATTAAAAGACATGGGTGTAAAATCTCATTATGATAATGACATCCCAAATGAGGCATATAGATCTCTGGAAAATAAAGTAATGCCATTTTTATTGAAGTGGTAATTTTAATTATATGTTATTTTGCATATTTCAACAAAGAAGTAGTATATCTTATAATCTGTGGATTCATTATTGCTTTATTGAGAGATTTTTACACCCATGAGATGATAGAAACTATTAGCTTCTGAGCCTCAGGTATATCCTCTGTTGTTCAGTGAGGACTAATCACATTTTAGCCCCACTTTGTAACTGCTTATTTATTTTATAATTTTGTACTTCTAAATAAAAAATATAGCTTAGCAGTGTTGTTATATAATAGTGTATCTGTAAGACCTTATCCAGATTATATATTTTATTTGATTAAAGAAACACGCTAAGGTTAAAAATCTTAAAATATCCATCTTTGTTTTAAAAAGCTTATTTTTTTCCTCACCAATGTCTCAGGGACTGAGTTTATTTTACCAGCAGCCACCTCTCTTCTTCTGAGAATACCACTTGTAATGATCTCTATCTTATCCAATGTTTATCACAGAGAAGCATTATGGATCTAAGAATTCACTGATTTACTAAGAAAAGCATTTACATAATTTGGCAGCATGATGTGATTCCCCCAGAAAAAATGTTCTCCAGAGAGAGGACATCTGATCTGATATCCAGAGTCTAGAGTCTATAGGTGTAGTTTAGGCAAAATGTAAGAATCACCATTTCTGTGGTTGCCATTGCCAGACAAAACGGACAGGCTCTAATGAACAAAAAGTTCATTAAAATAGATGGGTTTTGGTGCTTAGAGTGTCCCTATAAAGTTATCTAATTGTGTTGCATTTAGTGTTGTACTGTGTGCATTGTTGTGTTGTTTAAGTGCTTTTGCTGAACAAAATGGTTTTAAAGAAAAGTATCATACACATCAAACGTCCTTATTTTTCATATTTTACTCTGATAGATACATTTTAAAATGCAGTTGTCAGGCAACATTTTAATATTTTTATGTATTTTTTAATTTATTGAGACAGCTATACACAC